GTTTTCTACGAGATCTACATAGTGTATTTTGTACCAAAGGCTCCACGTACGGGAAGAGTCCAAGTTAATCGCCGGTTTTGATGGACCATTCTCTGCTGCCATCTCGGTCGTTCCGGAATTAGGCCATATCCAAAAATAACTGAATATCAAATGAGAATCAAACAAGAGAAAGTTTATAGTTAATTCATCGCATAAGTTAGCGATATCTCCTCACCTTAGTTACTAAATAGCCTGCTCGTAACTCGCTCACTAACGAGTTAATTAAGTCGTTGACTAACTCCGTTTCCTTCTTATCCCCAGCTCAAATTCCAAATCCCAATCATGGGCCGCCGTCGTCACAGAGATTCCTGCCTGAATTAGACACGGTGGTTGTGTCCATGCCGAAGATCTAGAAATTTTTTATTGCGGATCATCAAGAAGAAACTTAACTACCCCTCCCAGTCCAACTCCCAATAGTGCGTGGGCTCGACGTCGGAAATCTTCACGCATGATGCAAAGTACAGATAACCCCACGGTATGACAAGAGCTGGGGGCGATGGCTGCTTGATTCACAGAGCCACCTCGATCGATGTCGTAAATTTATACCATGAAGTTCTCAATATCAAATCAAGGCTTGGTGGGTGGTCCAGAATTGCTACAACTTCCCACACCTACTATCCTAACCATCAGATTCAACAAACCTAGCATTCCATCATCACACGTTTGTCGACACACTGTTGGATATTAGCAACGTAGTCATGGTGCCTATTGTGGTGGCCACCGAGAGGCCGACCTCCATTTGTGCTATGGCGTGTCCGACGCCCCTCACACGATGGCAGCACATACGTGTGTTGAAACCCGCCGCTCTACATAGCCTACCAGAGCAGACCGGTTAATCCACTACGGATATGTCGGACCACCTATCTCTGTTGTCCGATATGGGATTTCGACCTCTTCTTGGTGGTAGGACCTACAGATATAGTATCAAACCCCCCTCGGCTGGGTATGAAGCTGTTCACTACCTCGTAAGTGCTAGGCTACGGACAAGGCTCTGCTTCAAACACATTGGCCGCTCCAACCGTCGTGGCTTGATCTTGTTTTTCGGCGAATCAGGCCATTCCCTCCAATATCCAAAGTGCCACGACGGCGGTAAATTCTATGCTATACGGCGCGAATATGAGAATAATGTTCTCCTCGCCTTCCAGACCAACCAACCCCTCATTTTCCCTTACATTCTTATTTCCACCCTCACCCATACCCACACTACTTACATATAAAAGTGTGTCCCTTTTCATTTCTGGTAGCAAGTGGACTCAGTTATAATTGCCCTACCGAACCGAGTCCCTTCATTTCATTTCTCCAACACCAACTTGAGAACTTAGAGGCCCTCTCTTTGGAGTTAAGGTAATGATGCCACTTTATAGTCAAAGGTAGTATGTGGGAGTTATTCCTAAATCCTAACCATATTCCAATTATTTCCTAACCAAAGGTTCGACCTATCTCAGAAGAACAATTAGTTAACGAAGCACAAGATATCTGCGCGACTTTAGCTCTGGTCGATGAAGAGTGCATCGAAACATGTCAAAATTGTCTTTGTCCGACTCAATGGCAGACTCTTATCAGCCTTCATAAAACAATACTTCATGAACACCATGACTTTTCTTGGAAATCACAACACCCTTCTGCTGCGTCCGCCCTTGAACGTCTTGCGTTCGAAATATTTAATGCAAAAACCGATGTGGAGACACGGAATACACTCGTTCCTAGCACTTTCATGTTAGCATCTTCTAGCGTCTATTGATCATATGCTGCCACCACCCATATATGCGGGGTAGATATGGGGCTCTTATTTATCTAGGTATCTCGGTATCCAACCATCTGAATCTGCAAATAAAAATTAATTACAAAAAAAACCAACACATAATTCCCCATAAGGACTAGATCCAATACATGCAAATACATCAAATTAAAAATATGAAAGAGAAAACACAAATCCGTCCTTTCTGTCTGTATCTGTATTACCTCCTCAGTCATCCGAACACCGTGGGATCTCATATTTTGTTGATTTTCAGATCATTACCATCACCATCATTATTGTTATGGTTAGTGGAGAGGGCGAGTGGTAGAAGAATTCCAGACTTTCGTGGTTGGGAAACAAGCATAAAACTAGACGTCGATCCTCCTCTTTGATTCGGGCAAGAGTTTTTGCCCCAAGAACGGAAACTGTCAAAGGGGAGGAGGGACAAATTCAGGAAACATAGTTCTATAGAAGCCTCGTTGTATAGAAAGTTCCCAGTTCAACAAATCCTCTTCTACCAAGATATTAAACTACATGGATCTATAAGTAACTAATAATACAAAAGAATGAGGAAGATAGAAGCAAACCCCTCATTATTAAAAAAAGTAATTAATTTTCGGCAGCAATGAAAATCGACGATGATGAAGATAAAATAAAAGAGCGAAGCCATGCATCAGAGGTATAAGGGATATATAATTAAAAATTAGTTTAGTAGATAAAAATCCTTGTTTCACAAGGAGAAATCCACCAGGGTGAGGAAAATGAAAAATGAAAATGTGTTCCAACTTAGTCCACTCACACATATATATACCGTATATATCCAAACCTTTTCAAGAACTAAAACAGGATCATACAATTGGTGAGAAAATGGGCCACGAAAGGAATTAAAAAAAAAAAAAAAAAAAAAAAAAAAAAAAAAAAAAAAAAAAAAAAACCCACCCAAAACAAAACAGACATAAAAACCCGGGGCTTATAAAACCCCTTCGAAGTCTGGTTCCCCCGTGGATATGATTTTAAAAATGTCAGAACCGCAAAAGATATTTTATTGCATGGGAGAATAAATCTAAGTAAATTATTTCCTAATGCACCATTACCGGAGGCCAAGCGGGGAGGGGATAACCACTATACCCGAAGGGGGAAACGAGAAGAAGGGGTCAAAAAAGAAGGGCAAAAAAAGATTAAAGGGCGGCATCTCTCTCTCGAGGTACGCATTATTCTCTTATATTTATCTTAGAAGACCAATTATACCAAAACACACTTAGACCAATAGTCCACCATTATCCCGTTTGGTCTGGGTGCCGACGAAAAGCCGATTTTTAGGGTGAAAGGGAAAAGGGAACAAGCCATCTTGTTTTTGCTTAAGCCCCACTTCTTTTGGGGGGTTTTTCCCCCTCCCTTCTTCCCCCTGAATTCTTTCCTGGTTGGGTGTTAAGCTTTTGCTTCCGGGATTCGATGGGTGGTGCCATGGTGCAAAAATATTTTGAACCCGACGGAAAATGGGGCAGAAAAGAAAGGTGAAACGGGGAAAGGGAAAGAAAAAGAAAAAGTAAGAAAAC